GAGTGTCCCCAGCACCTCCCCGTGAGGAGGGGAGAGCCGTGACACACAGGCTCATTGTTGGACTGGATGAAGAGGGAGAATCCAGGCTCAGATCCTGCCCTCAAAAATTCTTGACAGAGCCACCAGTAATCTCAGAACAGGATGTGTAGCCTCCAATCCATTAAGGAGGATAAGAAAGCGTATATAACTTGCCTGGAAGGCCAGAAGAGGCAGGAGTAAGGCAGGCATAAAGAAAACGTGTCAGAGGGAAGTGTCTCAACTAAGACATTCATATAAGGTATAAGGTTAATATTAAATATGTAGAAGATACGAGATGTAAGGTTATAGATTAAAAAAAAGATTCCCAGATTCAGCTTAAAACCAGGAAATAAAAAAACCCCCAGAGAGACAAACTCTCCCTCCCAATCCAATTACATCCCACTTTCAAGAGAAATATTTAAATCATATGAAGTTAAAAATAAAGGGGATGTGCCCATGAAGATGGAGCAAAAGTGAGGTGGCCGTGCTACTTCTGTCAGATAAAACAAAAACTGAGGTAACTATTGGGTCGTCGGGAAAGTCATGACACATTTTTGCATTGAAAAACACAGAAAAATACGTCATGACTTTCCTGACGACCCAATAGATTTAGAACTTTTTACAAAATGAAAAAGAAAAGCACACAGCAGAGATACGAAAATCAGAAAACTCTCTGTTTCCAGTAAAGGCATTGAAATAACGTGAAACAAAAATTTTGGAAGTGTGTTATAAAAAAGGTGCCTGACTTCAGTGCTTTTTCAGCTTAGACAAAATATAAAGATTTTGAGGTTTTAAATTCTATGTCTTATAAGAGTGAATAGATATACTGGGAGCCTCCCCAAAATGTACACATTTTAAGGGATGTTATCTATGTTTTACTTTTGGAAGTTGAATTGAGTTACCATAGCAATGTGTAGTATGACATTTGTTCAAAAGATGGCATTAATCAATTATTAATCATTGTATTACAATTTTAATACAGTTTTTTCCTTTCTTAAAATGTGTATACATTTTTTGGCACCCTTTGTATATTTATGTGTGTGTGTGTTAACATCATATTTGAATACATGCATTTTTGAAACTCCAGAGAATAACCATTTGTTTCAAATGTGCACAGGACATGTAAACACTTAGTCATCTCACATACTGGCTTACAAAGTGAACCTCAATAAATCCCAACAAATAAAAAGTGTCCAGGACACATCCTGTGGCCACGATGCAATTAAGCTGGAATTTTCTAGTAAAAAAAATACAAGAACAAGGGTAAATCTTGGAAATTTAACCACAAGAAATGAGCAATAACAACCAGCAGTTTAAAGAACTGAGTTTAAATGAGAAATCAAAACTGCAATTACCATTTCTAAAATAAAAATTAGAACATCATATTTCACACTCATGGGTTGCAGCCACAGGGATACTCAGGGGACTTTCTAGCTTAAGTATTGACAAGGTGGCAGTAACAACCAGCCAACAACCTGGGCTGAGTGATTTATACCCAGTAGTTCAATTTATTACCACAAAGTTGCTGCAAGGTGGCTACTACAATCGTCCCCATTATACAGATGAGAAAACAGAGTCACAGAAAAGTCAAGTAGGTTTTCAAGGTCAGACACTTAGTAAATAATTGGACTAGGATTTGAACCCAGGTCTAGCTGGGCTGTAAAGCCAGAGCAGGTAACCCCTGCATGGTACGCTGTCATTTCTAAAATAGAACGAATGGATATGAGGGAAGTAAATATTAAACTCTAGAAGACAGAAAAAAGAACCAAACAAATATAAGAAATACAGGAAGGGAAAAATAATAAATACATTGGAAAACAAAACACAGTTTGTACGTGTGGATATAGATACAAAACTCCCAAACAAAATGTTAGCTCACTCAGCCCAGCTCTCTATTAAAAGAATTGTCCACTGTGTTCTAATGAGACTTAACAACAACCACAAAATATAGGTGACTCGGTCCTAAGAAAGCCGTGAATTGGCTTCTTCATGTGGAGAAATCCAGAGGCAGGATCCACAGCCACGCGTGGGAGCTGAGAGGGCATTTAGTGAACAGCATTTATTCTTGGTGAAAATCCTCCCCAAATTACTGTAAGTTTGGTAGTTATAAAAAAAAAATGCACATATACAAAAGTCATAATTTACATAAAAGCAATAACCAGCCAGAAAGTGTGTTTTATATGTGGTTTTATTCAAAATAGAAACAGTAGTGCTAGGAAACAGGTAATGAGAGAGATTCAGAGTCTATACAAAGAGTATAAATTTGATTGACGGAACCATCAAGTTCCTCCCTTCGTTTCTTATCTCTGAGTCAGTCTTCAGTCCAAGCCAGAGTTACCCCCTGGGCTGGAATGACCAAACTTTAAAAATTGCTTTTGGTACAGGACACTGTCGGAGAATTCAGAAATTTAAAACATGTTTCATCAACCAGTTCCTTTCTGCATGTGGCTGTTTACCCTCAAAAGTCTCAGTGAATTAAGTGTATTGTATCCAGATGGAAACATGGTGGCGTCTCTGTGGGTTAGCTTTGCCCCGCACAGCGACGGACTCAGGAGTTTTTGAACAAGGACTTGCTGAAGAAACAAGTGGGAAGGGAGGGAAGGATGGACGGGAGGAGGGAGGTCTGACTTACCCTGCTCCCTGGAGGTTTTGCGATCCTTTGAAGGAATGAACTGTCCCTTTCTTAGTGCTCCAGCTCTGTCCTCCTGGCGTGGCACTTTGCATACAGAAGACGACGCAACCACAGTTGGTACAAACGTCCACTGGGCACTGTGATGAGTCAGTCCTCGTGCTCCTTGCGGGGTCTCCTCATATGTGAGGGAGACCCTTCCAGCCCTAGGGCGCTGTGGACGGCGCAGTTACAGAGCAGACGTGGTCACAGCTTGCGGGAAAGGTGTCCAGAGAGTGGGGAGCCCTTTCCTGGGGAAAAGCAGGTTCTTTGGGCTTTCTGCTGGGGAGTGACAGCTGCTGATCCTAGGAGCTTAGCCACGTTGGATACCACAGGGGACCCACAGGGCTGTCCTGTGGGGGATCCACTAGGGACAGAATCAGACAAGAGTTCGGCCATGGCTCGTGGAGCGTGGGACAAAGTCGGAGAAAGCACAGGAGTTCTGACCTCCAAGGCGGCTGGGAAGGGGGCTGGCCTGTCCCCCAGGTCTGCCGACATTTGGTTTGATTAGAAAGCAATAGCTGGTTCCAATGTCCTGAGCACAAGTACCGAAGCTAAGCTGAGCCATGTGATCTCGCTGCTGTGTTTTCAATTACTCTCTCTCCCCACTCTCTCTTTCTAAGCCAGGCCTACAGGGATAGCAGGCTCCCACAGAAGTCCAGTTCTGGCTTCTCTGCATCTCGTCCCCTTCTGTCTTTCTTACACATTTCCATAACGACAAGGCTCATTTTGTACACCGTTGTTGCCCTTGACCAGAGGGTTAACCTTTGCCCCCAGAGCACTGCCAGCCTCCCATCCCGGGACCCTGCCTTCACACGTGGGAGCCAAGGCCGCACAAGTCACGGCTCCCTCTGGAAAAGCTTATTTGCAGAAACTGCCAGGACTCATCAGACACTCCTGCAAATGGTCCTCTGGGATTAGCACAGCTCCACATGCAGCCGGCTTTTCCAGCACTGAGGGAAGTGCACAGCCTCGCAGCTGGTCCCGAAGGTCCCCAAATGTCTGTGTCCTGGTGACCGCCCAGTGCGTGAGCTTGCCTTTGTCTGGACAGCCATTGTGGGTTGGGATATGGGGGAGCGCATATGGGGGAGAAAGGGAATTGAGTTTGCATTCCAAGGATCCATGCAGACCGTGGCGATGCTCGGTGGGGAAAAATGCAGGAGGCTGTTATGCCGGAGCCCAGCGCTGGAGGGGAGGAGAGCCCGAGCCCTGACTGGGGGTACTGGCTCCTCTCCTAGTCTGGGGTGGGTAAATGACAGTGCCAACAGCCTCTTGGCCCCTGCATGTCACCGTTTTCCATGCCCTATGCCAGTAGCATCAGAGAGAAGAACTATTCCAGGAGGACCTTTTTTTTTTTTAAGCAAAAAGAGGACTCTATTAGTTTGCAAAACTGAAGAGAGATGGCTTCAGGCATGGCTGTACCCAGGTGCTCATATGATGTCATCTGGACTCAGTCTTTCTCTCCGCCTCTCTCCCTGCCTCTGTGAGGCCTGTACCCCTGTGTTGGCTTCATTCTCAGGCAGCCCTCATCAGCCACACAGCTATATCCTCCCTGTTGAACACCAGCAAAAGCACAGGAGGATTTTAACACAAACTTTGATTCACTTTCACTTCCTCTTACGCCTAAAGGACTGGCGCTGGCTGTGACCAGCACATGTCTTTCTCTCTCTCTCTCTCTTCCCCCCACCCCCATCTCCCCGCCCCCTTCCTTTACTTCGAGTCCCAGGTTAACCCTGGAGAGTCCTAATGAGGCTGAACAAGCTGGAACGAGGTCTGGATATGTTCATACTCACGGTGACGCTGATGGTGCAGGTTACAAGGGCACAGACGTCAGCGGTCCTCACACTGGGCTCCGTGAATTCTGGGTTTATTTGGCGATGTCACAGGAGTCCGGAGGGGTAGAGACGGGACAGGAAGGGACAGTCTCCCTTCCGCCCTCTGACCCACGCTGTAGCCTGGGGTCCCTGTGACCTTTTGTCTGAAGGGTGGCGTGTACGTATGAAGGTCTCAGGCACGGGTTCCGATCTCTAATGGCCCTCCTGTGACAGATCGCCGGCTCTGCTGGTCTTTGTGGCTTTGACTTTGCACTTCCCTTCTCTGTGCCTCAGTTTCCCTGTCTGTGGGATGAGGTTTGGATCAGAGGAGCTTTGGCCTCCATGAGCCCAGGAGTGGAGAACCCCCTGTGGCCAGCACCCTGGAAAGGCCGGCGACCCTGCAGGATGGTGGCCCCATGTGTCCTGCTCCACGGGCACCGGGCACTCACGGCTCAGCTCCACTTGTCAGCACCCACTCACGTGGCTTCTCTCTCCTCCAGGGACCCATGAAGGGGTGGCTAAGCCCAGTCTGGTCGCCACCCGTCCACCAAAGGCCAGAGACCAGGAAAGGAAGAAAGGCAGCTTCACTTCCTCTCTGAGGATGGAGCCACACAGCCATCCTGGAAAGAGCAGAAAACCCACCAAGTTCCGGGCGCTGTCCAGGTCGCTGATGCTCTGTAACGCGAAGACCAGCGATGACGGCTCCAGCCCCGATGAGAAGTACCCAGACCCCTTTGAGATGTCGCTGGGCCAGGCCAAGGAGGGGATTTTCCACTCCTCTGTGCAGCTGGCAGACACGTCGGAGGCCCGGCCCGGCGGCATCCCTGACCTGGCGCCGTCCTCTGAGGCCACTCCCGTCCCAGCAGCTGGCAGTGACCGAGGCAAGGGCTGCAGGAGGGCATTCTTCACCAAGGTACGCCGGGGTCTGGGGGCCGGAAGAGCCTGTGGCTGGTTTCTGCTGCTGTGAGCCCGAGTCTGTGAGCCCTTTCGTTCCAAAGGCAGGAGGGCACAGAGTTCAAGTAAAAATGTGAGGCAGCGTCTCCCAAATGACAGCAGGGAGCACGGTGGTGGGTCGAGGCGCAGCTGACCTTGCCTGAGGGATTCAGTGAGACACTGTGGGCCTGTAGTCAGCTGAGCCTGGGACCCTGTGGGACATGCCAGCTTCAGCAGTGGGGGCACTGGGGGGTTCTCACGTCCAGACGGGCCGCGTCTGGCACCCCACAGGCGGCCCCCATCACACCCAGCATAGAGCCTGTTAGTCCCACCTCTGGGACCTCGGCAGGGGAGGAGGCCTGTGTCGGGCTGGACAGGGGTGCTGGGTGGGTGAGTTTGCCACCAAGTACCGATGGCGGGCGTTTCCCAGGTGCCCCTGCTGCTGCCAGCACGGGTATGAGTGCTGAAGGGGCACGTGCAGCTGTAGTGAGGTGGGCGGGGAAAAGCAAGCGGGCTTGGGAAGACTGCCCAACTCAGAGTGTTTCCTCTTGTGCTGGACAGTGAGGTGGCAGAGGCCGGACCACGAGACAGAGGCTGAGTAAAGAATTGTACTCTGCAGTTGGTTTCCATCAGTGTGGGGTCTTTCCTTCCCCCAGAGGTGGGGTTTCTGAGGGTCTGACACCCTGACCTGTGGAGCTAGCTGGGATCGCTCAGTGATGGGCCTGCGCAGGGGCTCTCCCACACCCCGGGGCCACATCCCACAGGCGCATTCACGTGACTGTCAGCAGCACAGGGAAGGCGTTGCAGCACCTTCCAGGGGGTCCTGCACCTTCACATAACTTTCCTCCTAGCGGAGCAAGATGGTTGCTTAACATGCCGAGTAAACAATGTCATGTATCATCACGTTAGAGGCCGGGTCAGGTCCCCAGCAGGGTAGCTCCGGTCATCTCCAGACACAGGCAGCTTCCTGGGGGCCCCACCCAGCTCAGGCTGCTCCGGCACCCAGTGGGACTTGTATTGATTGTTAGGGCAGAAGGCGGGACCAGCAGCCCAGCAGGTTTGGGGAGCCTGACCAGGCTCCTGCTGTGGCACAAATCATGTGACGTGTAGACAGAGAGCCAGGTTTATTCATGGCAGTGTCAGTCTACCCAGGTTAGAGCTCAGATACACGAAATTCACAAAACCATCTCAGGATCCCAGCAGACTCCTAGAAGGAATTATTTACTTCTGTTTAATTGCACGAGTATTTCCTGAGCACCTGCTGTGCTCCAGATACTGTGGGGACCTGCTTCTGGTGGGGTGGGTCCTGCACTCCGGGGTGCTGTGGGAGGTGCCGAAGAGGGAGGCAGCGCGTGTCCGGGCTGAGCCAGGCGGCCTCCGTCTCTGCCCGCTGCCCCTTTTGTTCTGCCGGGTGAGATGCACGTTAACTACTTACTGTATAATGTCACACAGCGAAGGGCTCTGGAGATTGCTAAGGATGAGGGGGTAGTGATGACGAGGCACCGCTGCCCCTTTTGCAAAGCTGATTGCGAAGGTTCCTCTGAGTGGCGTTTGAGTCAAGGCTGCATGCGTGAAGCTGAGGACCGTCTCGGGGAGGGCGTTGCAGGCAGAGGGAACAGCATGTGCGAAGACATGAAGGAAAGAGCCTCGAGGAGGAGGCGGAGGCGGAGGCGGGTGCTGGCCGGGGCTGGGGTCCTGTTCTTACCAGGATGGGGACAGGCAGGAAGAGGGAGCAGAGGCCTGACACCCATGAAGGAGCACTCTGGCTGCCCAGCAGGGAATGGCGTGTAGGGGGTGGCACTAACCCGGCCGATGGGACACGGCTCGGACTAAGGTGGTTGTGGTACAGGCCTCAGGGCTGGGATCTGTTTTCAGAGCAAAGGCATCAGGACTTGCGATGGATGGGAGGGGGAGAGAGATGGGGCAAGTTTATCTGCAAGTTTTGACCTGAGCAATTGGGGGGCAAGGAGACGCCGTGCTTGAAGATGGGAAACACTGGGGGCTGGAAAAGTGAAAGGAAAAGGTGTGATGTTCTTTGGAGATGCTGACCAAGCAGGGGTGGGGTGGGTGGGGGAGAGTGGGCAGTGCATGGCCATCGGGGTCCACTGTGCCCAGAAGCCTGCCTGGCGCTCCGTTCTCGGCAGCCGTGCTGCGGCAGGAGACGTGTGGCAGGTGGCTGCACCTTTCCCGTCGCTCTGGTTTGCACGTGCACCACACCTGGCTTTAAAAAATGTCCTCACGGCTCTTCTGTCATTGTCTCCCTTTCCCCAAAGCCCTGGGAGGAAGGCGGTCCCAGGGCATTGTTGTTGCTGTGGGGCAGTGTTGCCCAGGGCGTGGGGGCTCACTCTTCTGGCTGCTTGGCTGTGAGCCCCGCTCCCCCATTTAGCAGCTGTGTGGTCCTAGGCAGTCACTCTGCCTCTCTGGGCCTCAGTTTCCCTGTGAAATGGAGACTGTGACTAACCCGTAGGGCTTTATCGGGAGGAAGCTGTAATCACTTCGTGAGCGCACCTGCCCACGTCAGCACCCTGCCCAGCCATTGTGGTCCATTGTGGTCTCGTGCGTGTGGTGGGTGGGACACTGACCGACCCTGAGCGGTTGAGTAACTGCTGAGGTCGGGGCACCAAAGGGTCCGTCCTGTGCTGGGCAGGGTGGGGAGCTGAGCTTTCGCGGTGCTCACAGGGACAGAGTGCGCCGTCCCCTTTCAGGCTGTGGGCTCAGGCACGGACCAGAGTCCTGGCATGCTGAGGAGGGACCTGCGACTGCATTGGGGCCGCAGTCCTGGAGGTGCTGCCGAGAGCAGGACCTCGAAGTAAACAAGTCCAGACCTGACTGCGTGGTGTGGATGGGCTCAGAGGCTGGGAGGGTGGGGTTGGGCGCCGTGCGGTGGGGTCCAGTGAGGCAAACAGGGTGGGGCCAGGGCAGAAGCCCAGGTCTCCACGTTCCCTTCTTCAGGAATGAGTTCTAAGCAGCTGAGGGATTCAGTTGTCTGGGCGCGTCCCAAGTCAAAAGTGCCAGGACACAAAGGTCAAGGTGACCGCTGGGCCCAGCATCGCCTCCTGGTGGGGACCCTCCCATCAGTGCCCTGGTTCCTGTGCCCGGGCGTGACTCAGTTGGCCCAGCCGGGCTCCTCAGCCTCCAGCAATGCCATGGTTACACTGATTTCAAAACAACATCTGGAAGACGGCCCTGTGACATCAGCCTCTCCTCTGGAAACGCCTAGTGTGAAAATTAAAGAAGAGGAAGTTATATAAACAGGAAAGTTTTAAAAAAAGATGCGTGGTGCTTGGCACAACCTGGGCTGCGTAAATCAGGCCCAGGGATGTGCAGAGCCTGGAGCAGGCATCTGAAAGTTCCTCCATCAGGGGTCCCGCCCGGCCCCTGGGGACACATGCAAGCGGGAGACAGGGAAAACCATGCGTTTCCTCCTCGGAAATGCACGGACTCCTGGCTACTCCAGAGCCACGGTCTGTTTTCCAGTGGAAAGGATTTAAAATACGCTTTGCGTAGGATGGATGCTGTGGCCTGCTGGGGCTGAAGCCGAACCAAACTCCCCCTTTCCTCTCTCTCTCTCTCCTTCCTCCTTTCTCCTTTTTCTCAAACATTGGTAGAACACCTGCTGTGCGCTACCTTCCAGGGATAAAGAAACAGACTGACAGTAGTAAGAGGCTTTATGCTCTTCACTGTGGAACTCCCCTGGAGGAGACCAGGTCCTGCCAAATTCCTGTGACACGGAACGGCCCCAGGACAAGACGCTGAGGGCAGGTCAAGCTCCCTCCCTGCTTGTCACCCTGGCCCCAGGCTTCCAAACATGCACCAACTACTCCGGTGGTGCCTCCCTGGAGAGCTAGGAGGGAGCCCTGGGGTGTGGTGTGTGGGTGGGAGGGACAAAAGCCAGAGGGCTGAGTGGGGGCAGGGGAGCCACACACCCCAGGGGCTCAGCCGGGCTCCCCAGTGACACAGGGCGACTTGGAGAGACTTGACTGCCTACCTCAAGGTCACAAAGATATTTCCCCATGTCTCTTTAGAAGCTGTGTTTTTCTTTCACATTTGGATTTGTAATTCATATGAAGTGGATCTTGTATACATCATGAGATAGACGGGAAAATACTTTTCCTGCATGGATAGCCACTTGACCCAGCATTATTATTATTTTTTTTGAAGATTTTTTTTTTTTTATTGGGGAATTGGGGGAATGGGAACAGTGCTGGGGAATGGGGGAAGGGGAAC